TTTATATATGAAGAAGGCCCAAAGAGTTAAAGAAAGGTAGCTGGTAAAATTACTTTAGGCCTGTTTCTAGTTTAAGCGAACAGGAATATTTTGCTTACTTATGAATCAAACCTGCCTACCAGGGAAGAGGAACAGAAAGAAGACCTCGCAGAGTTCAAAGGCCCCTAGTAAAAATGAAGCACATTAATTTCTTGGCATGGCCCTTACACTGTGAATTTTCAGTGATTATAAGCAGTCTGTATGGATTTAGGGATGCTCAGTCCTAACTATGTAAGTCATACAATCTCAGTGACATATGATACAGGTTATTTTCAAACCTACAACTCAATGTGGAGGCATACTTTTTTTTTCATAAAACATTTACTAATGTTTGTTGTAAATCACAAAGATAATAAACGCAACTGCAGTAGCCAAATGTATAAACAGCCCTTGGAAATCAATAAAAACAAGAAAAGAAAATTAAAAGAGTATGTAGAATTAACCCTACTTTTCTAGCTGAACCAGATTAAATCCATTATATGAGGTCAAAACTAGTTAGGTTTTTCTTTATTTGTTTTTGCCTATTCTAATTACTTAACCATTTCTTTCAAATATAACTGAATACTATACACTTTTCAATGTCTCTTAGGTAATTAAACAAGTACATTAAGGAATAAGAAGGTGAAAGGGAAAGAGGACAGAGCACTGAGAATGGAACACTGAAAAATAATTTTAAAAAGAATGTGCTTTATAAAATGAATTTATATTGTACTAAATTGTCTGTAGGTTTTTAAAAATAAGAACATACATAATTTTAATTTAGCACCAACTATTATCTATGCATCCCAATTACAGAAATCCTATTAACTATTTAAATATTAACCTGTGTTTTAATCCCAAATCCCAACAACCTTTTTTACATCTTTTTTCCCCTCTGCATTGCTTTCCCTTTTCTTCTCCCTTAAGGTGTTTTCCCCAATTCTCCTTCTGACTTGCCTGCTTAGGCCTCTCTCCTTACAAGCTGCAGTTTCTTCCTGTGTCTGTCTATAGAGACATACACCTTCTCCTCACCCACTCCCTTCCCTCTCTCACTCTCATACTCTCCCTTCCTTAACTATTCCTCTTTTTCCCTTCTCAACTACTTTTAAAAAGTTACATTCGTTTCTATTTCTCAGGGGAGGAAGAGTATGAGCTATTTGGGGACAGAGTACCAAGGAAAAAAAAAAAAAAACCTTTAACCTCTCCACACCTGAAAATAATTGAAAATCTTCAGGAAATGACAGTATTTCAATTGTATTTTATATTGAGGTTTATGTTAAGGTCAGAAACTCGGCTGAAATTTTTCTTGCTTAAAGCAGGAGACTGAAAATGCCAACTGTCACAGGTCTTTGGTTTGAATGTAATCTTAACTTCCCTGCGTTTCAGATACTCAAATTGCTTAATATAAGTTTCTAATTAAACTGTTCCAAGTGTGATAAATTTTGGATTGTGTAAAATCATCTCCATTTCCTGGCATTAAATGTAAAACTATCTCTGCCTGGAAGTGTCATCCCTTCCCTTTCTACAACAGACAACATATTTGACTATCATCCAGGGGGCACTTTCCCTAAAGTGAAACCTGGAAATGAAGTTTGTATCATTATCAACTATGTTGCATTTAAATTCAAAGGCTTTCCAGGCAGCTGTATAGAGAACATAAACTTGAAAAAAAAAATCCTAGATCACCAAGTGTATTTGAAAGTTATAATTACAAATGACAGAAAAATTTCATGTAAGTGTAACAGCATTAATGAGGCCAATTTCTGTCATGTAGTGACAGCTTAAATACCGTTAAAGCATACTATGCATACACTGTTTCATGATATTCATAGCTCCCTAGAAAAAATAAAAGCACAAATACTAGCCTGGGCTCCATCACCAAATCCTGGTGGCAGAAGCTCAAAATAGTTCAGTGCAACCTGCTTGAGCTAACCATGGTTTAAGCAAAACTAAATTTGAATAGAGACATTTTCTACTATCACTTCTGCCACCTCTAATGGAAACTTCCACTCCCATTATCAACTCCAGCATCAATAAAATTACACCCCAAAATGGGAATGATTGTACGAATTCCCAAACACATACAAAATGAACATAACATGCACAACATCAATATAGTTATTATCATCTTATGTGGTAAACTAATTTTAACATGTTTATTCAGTTTAATGACCTAGAGATATGGGGCAGAAAACAATGCTTTAGTTACACAAAAATATATAATTTTTGAGATTAAACAATTAAATGGACACAAAGTATTGCCTCAGAGTGTCCTTTCACAATGGTACCTAGAAGCTGTAATTTTTTTTTAAAAGATTTTATTTGACAGAGAGAAAGAGAGCGTGCACAAGCAGGGGGAGCTGCAGGCAGAGGGACAGGGAGAAGCAGGCTCCCCCCTGAGCAGGGAGCCCCACCTGGGGCTCGATCCCAGTACCCTGGGATTATGACCTGAGCCAAAGGCAGATGCTTATCTGACTGAGCAACCCAGGTGCCCCTAGAAGCTGTATTAGTAAAACTGTAATGTAACTTCATTCTCAGATATATCAACAAAGAAAGCAAGTGTTTTCTGAAGAAATTGGAGGGAAGATATAATGCAGACTTTGGAACCAGATATTTGATTCATGACTTATGAGTAGTTATTTAGCTTCTGTAAGTTTTTGCTTTCTCACTTCTAAAACAGAAGTTAATAATATCTAATTTGCAGCTTGTTGTGAGAATTAAATATAATATTTGTAAAGCATCAGAAAATAACAGTGCTCAAAAATATTCTATTATATGATTATGAATTTATCATGATGAATACTATTACATTAATCTGAAGAAAATTATTTGAGGTTTCTAATAAATTGGAACAAGGAGTTCAGTCAGTATCCATGTAAATCACACACACAATATTCAATCAAGTTAAAACTTTTATACTATCACTAATTTCAAAACAAAGCTATAAAACTTGAAAATCATTATTTTGAGGTGAATATAACATTTTAAAGTATGAATGCACTAAAAATAAGATGAGAACACAAATGTGTTGCCTTTTTGTTGTGATGTGAAATTTCTTAGAAATATATTTTTTAAAATCCTACTAAATGGATTGATGGAAAGCTCTACACTGACAAATGCTTTTCTGTGCATTAAACTAGGGTGCGGATAAAACGATAAAGGCTAAAGGCTAAAAGTCACCTGAGCCAAACCTTTTTTTTTTTAAATTTATTTGAGAGAGCGCGTGCTCATGAGCTGGAGGGTGGAGGGGCAGAGTAAGAGGGAGAAGCTGACTCACTTGCTGAGCGGGGAGCCCTGATGCCGGGCTGGATCCCAGGACTCTAGGATCATGACCTGAGCAAAAGGCAGATATTTAACCAACTCAGCCACCCAGGCACCCTGGTCTGACCTTGTCACAATTTGAGAATTCTGAATTAAAATCAATTTTTCTAACACAGGGAATTAGTGACATATTACACATGCATTAAATTTGTTTAACATACTTTTTTTATTCTAATTCTATAATGAGATAGCCTAAAAAATATATTCCTCTATGAGTCTAATCAGTTTTTATGTCCACACATATGTAATGTATCTCATTAGTGTCTTCTGTTTTTAACACAATTAGGCTCCAACAAAGGAAGATAAGTAATGCTGTTTACTGAATTAGAGAAAAACCTATACGTCCATGGGCATAGACGAATTTCAGTGCTTCAGCTCCTGAAATAGTTCCAGCTTTCTGAGGCAAATTAGCTCTCTTAGATGGGCAGCTCAAAATCAGGACAGTCTCTAGAACTTTTTTCAGGGATACAATTCTTATTAGGATAGGACTCCAAGAAATTTTTATATGATGCACTTAAGTAAAGGAATAAGCTGAAGAGTTGACCTGAGCTTACTTTGTGATATGGGCATGGGAAATTATAGGGAATAAAGCATTGAATAAAACATAGTTAACATTAAACAAAAATAAAAATTAAATACAAATTAAAAAATAACATAGCATGCATGACAAGTGGTAATGAATGCTACAGAGAGGGGAAAAAAAAAAGACAGGAAAGGAAAATAGGAAATACTGTGGTGAAGGGCTGTAATTCTAAATATGGCAGTCATGTAGGACACTAATGTGAGGTGATCCTTGAGCTAAGACACACTGGAGGCAAGGAACTGACCCATTAAGATACAGGGACAGGGGAGGCTTAAGCCTAAGCAAGAGCAAGAACAAAATTCCAGGGCAGGTGGTAGAAGGCGGCAGTGAGTTTGGTAAGTTTAAAAAAATAAAAAGGAGGCAGTGTGACTAGAGTGAATTGAATGAAAGTGGTAGGGAATGCTCATAAGATGATAGAAGATGAGGGCGCCTGGGTGGCTCAGTCGTTAAGCGTCTGCCTTCGGCTCAGGTCAGGATCCCAGGGTCCTGGGATCGAGTCCCACATCGGGCTCCCTGCTCGGCAGGAAGCCTGCTTCTCCCTCTCCCACTCCCCCTGCTTGTGTTCCTGCTCTCGCTATCTCTCTCTCTGTCAAATAAATAAATAATAAAAAAAAATCTTTAAAAAAAAAAAGATGATAGAAGATGATAGCTTTTGAAAAATATGCAGATACAGCTCGAGCAGATAGAACTGTTAGGTAGGTTTAGTGTACAGTTGCAAACAGAATAGAGAAGAATACATTTGCTTATTCTAGACCACCTCAAAGTCACTCATCAGTATTAGTCTCTGTGCCTCTGAAAATGTCTTGGTCTCTCTTGTTTATTATATATCTTTCTACAAAATAATTTCCAAATACATTATGCAAATAATATATAATCTCCAATACACATATTTCATATTCACATTTGTAGTTCTACATTTGAAATTACCACATACATTACCTGATAGCATGTAAATACTTAAGACAACCTACATTAAGTTTATAATCTTCCTTCCAACCTTCTCTTTTAGTAAATGAAATGGACATTGACATAGAAAATCCAACACCCATTCTATTTTTTTTTTAAAGTCAGAAAACCAAAACATATGGAATGCTTCATGAATTTACATGTCATCCTTGCTCAGGGGCCATGCTAAACTTCTCAATATCATTCCAATTTTAGTATATGTGCTGCCAAAGTAGGTACTCTCCTATTCTTTTTAATACCAGGCCCAGATTTTAGGGCTCATGCTTGCTGTTAATGAAAGTCAACATTTCTCTAGCCTCTTTTTCCATGAAGCTGGCAACATGGCCAAATTTTGGTGAATTACATGTGAGCAGAAGTGTTGTTTGGGTTTGGCTATTTAAGGTGAACCCACTCCATCTATATACTCCTGCTGTTACTTCTTCCTGCAATGAGGATATCATAAATGCAGTTCCTTAACTATAGTCTTAAACCATGGGATAAAAGCTTGAAAATGGGAGCTTTGTACTAGAATGGTGAAATAAAGAGATGGAATGTTTGATTCACTGATGATATTGCAGAAGAGCCACAATATCAGTTTTGGACTGTTTACCTAATATCTTTTATGTAAAATAAAATAAAATTAGCTTTCTCTTGTCTAACAATTTTTAGTTTGAATTTTTATGTTATAATGAGCTGAACATATATAAGGCATACAACCATTCCTTTACTGGCCCATATTTAGAGTCATCTTTTACTCTGCTTTAATTCATCCTATCTAGTTCTAGCAGTTAGCCATCACATTCTATTTATTTACCTGTGGATATTTAAACTGTCTAAAATATCTCTTCTCTAAGCAACTGCCCTGCTCTCATTTTTGGACTGAAGGCATTGTCTTACAGATGTTGGAAAAATAATTATCCCTACATTCAGATCTATTCCTTCTACTTTCTTGTTTAAAGTTGGCTATTAATTTTTATTTAAGAACACCCAAGGTTATCCTAAGATATTTGCAACTTACACTTCCATAAACAACGTGTTTGGCAGTATCATGCTCCATGTGTCTCCCATACCTACTTATGAATCAATCATAGATACGTTACCTATCTGAAGCTGTCAGACAAGAATTTATATCTACTCTTATCAATGCTTGAGGTGCTCTTTTTTTTCATCAAAATAGGAATAGGATAGGATAATAGAAAATCATATGGACATAAAATAAAACACATGTAGTTTGGAATCTTGAGTTAAAGACTTCTTAGAAGTTTGAACTTAGGAAATGTTCTTAATCTTTCTGAATATCAATTTTCTAATTGATAAAATGTCAACAATGTCTCGCTCATGATGATGGTTAAACTAAGTTCAAAATGTTAGCCTAGAGTTGAAGCCATGATGGAACAAGAGGGAAAAGATTTATCCCTCCACCTTAAGATAATATTTATAATATCTATAATATCAATGTGTATAATAACTGTTTTCAGATATTGGCCAGTAGGCAATGGTGTGCTGTGATCCTGCTTGGAAGGGAAACAACTGTTAATAATTTCTGCTTCCAGGTACATTCCAAAGGAGCAGGTAAAGAATCCCAAACAGTTCATCGCAGTCTGAGTTGTGACAGAATCAAAGATCAGGAAGTATATGGTGGATGGAAATTTCCAGCCTTGCAAATAGGCAGGACATAAACAGTAAAAGGGACCCAGAAATCACCACATGACCCAAGAGAAATGAAAACCTATTCCTACACAAAGACTTCTACACAAAATTTTAAAGTTGCTTTATATACAGTAGCTCCAAACTGGAAACAACCCAAAACTACAGACAGTGCAAATGTCTAATCAGTGTTTTAGCTCTTAGCTACTCGCTCCTTTGTACCCATCTGAAGATTGTTTTTCTTAAATACATCTAAGAGAAAGCATGTGCTTATCCAATCAATTTTGTCTTAATTTTACCAGTTCATTTCAAACAGGCTATCTTATAAATTGTTGGAAACACAATGGATTGGCTGAAGTCAGTTGTGTACCCTCAGTCCATTCAGCTTGATCAGATTGGTCACATGATCCAGAATACGCCATCAATTCTCTTTGAACATACTAATTCTGCTTTCCTCAACTGGGGCTGTAAATGGTACCATTTGGCTTAGAAGCATCAGATATCTAGAAATGTCAGCTACCATGAATAAATTGTTTAGTACAAAATAATAGATGGAAGAAAGGAAAGGATGAATAACTTGATTATGTAGCAGACTTTCTGTGACAACCAAAGTGATATGAATAACTAATGAAAAAAGTAAAACTAGGTTATTCTTACATTTGCATATGGCAGATTAAATATATTGAAACAATGAAGGCTACAATAAAGGAATAATAATGTTGTGGAACTGATGCTCAGCCATCTCCTTATCACAGTTATCTATTACATAGGAATGTATATAGGTTTTGTAATTCTTAGTCATTTTAGATCATTATAATTGTTACTGTTCATTGTTACCATGATATCATTCTAGATACTATGTCTACCAAATAATTTTAATTGATTACATCATGATCAACATTGTTTTAATTAAGTTTGAAAATCATTATGCTATATATATGACTATTTTTCAAGGCATTAAAAGCAGACATCAACTGAAATAATACAAAACCATCAATATTTTATAGCAAAACTTTATATGGCTTTTTAATAAAGATAATTATACTTCAAATGGTTGGACATTGCCATGGAAGTTAGAATAGGCTGGCATAATTACTGGACTATAATGAAGAAAAGTCAAAAAGGATACATACCCTGCTGCATTTATTTCTATTGTACCACTAATATTTTTTCTAGAATTACTCATTAAATTTTATCTATTTTTTCTATAGCGAGCCTATACAAGTGAAGTGAAAGAGTCTGAGTATAGCTTATGCCATGCACAAAATATGTCTGGTTATTGCCACTATATAGCTGATGGACCATAAAGCATGATGCTTTTGAAAGGCCAGATATAAAACTGAGTTGTTAAAAATGTATCACATCATTTTATAGATTAGGAAAGTTCTAAAATGATATGGTATTTCAAAGATGCCACAACAATTAAGCAAAATGACCCCACCAATCATTTGTTAGGTTTAAAAATGCAGCCCCTCATAATTTAAATCACTCATTTGACATTTTACACAAACTCAGGGACAACCCTCATTTTTATGAGAAGAAGCATAACTGACTTGCACCTTCCTTTCTTGCTTCAAGAAAATCTGGTGAAGGGGAAAGAATATAGTCTTGGAAGTTCAAAAAAACCCAGCTTTAAATCCCCAACTGCCAACCCCAGGACTGCAGGAAAGGAATTGAATATTTCAGCAGAAGCAACTGAGGGCAAGAGCATGGTATACAACACATGTGGTGGGTTTTTTTGTTCTTGTTCCAACAGCATTTATAATGTGCCTGACATCATATCTTAAATCCTCATGTCCTGTTGACACTGTTATAGCAACTCCTGCTCATGTCCAAAGAAATTACTGACCTCCAAAGTTTCATAGCTAGTCAGTGTTGGGCAGTTGAGGATTTTTTTAAGAAACAATTATGCCAATTTTGGAATTTTTGGATGTTCATTTTCAGGTACCTAGAGTAAAACTGAAGACATTCAGATATTTCCCATGAATTTACAAAGCAAAAGATGTTTGAAATAAAACAATAGCAATTATTAATAAAATTATACTCTTTACATAAACTCCCCAATGTAATTTTTACTTGCATGATATTTTCTAATTATAAATGAACTGCATATGATGTGTTATATATTACTTTTGATGTATTTCATACTATTTATTCCTACTCGTATTTTTCTCTTATCTAGATCCTGTCTTTATTCTGGAAAACACATGGATGATAGATTCAATAACCTTCTATACCATGTCTTTGACTTCACATCAGTCCAATTTAATCATACTTTTCACAGTCACGGTATTAGTTTCTTTGGGTTGCTGTAACATATTACCACAAAGTTGGTGGCTTATAACGTAATTTTTTTTTTCTCACAGTTCTAGAGACCTTAAATCCAAAATCAGGGTGTTGTCAGGGCTGCACTCCTCCACAGTCTCTAGGGAAGGTGTTCATTGCCCCTTCCAGCTTCGGATGCTTCCAGGCATTCCTTGGTTTATGGCTGCATAATTCCAATCTCTGCCTCTGTTTTCATAGAACCTTATCTTCTCTCTTGTGTATAAGGATACTTGTCATTGAATTTAGAGCCCCCCTAGATAAACCAGGATGATCTCATCTTGAAATCCTTACTTATATCTGAAAGGCACTTTTTCCAAATGAAGTCACATTCACAGGCTCCTGGGGTTAGGATATGGATTTATTTTTGCAAGGGCCACCATTCCATGCACTATAGTCACCATTTCAATTTTCTCATCAGCCACAGCCTTTCTAATTTGCTGTTTTTCAGTAGTTTGCCCCAGTCTTCCTCACAGGAATACCAGTCACTTTTTTTCTGTCTTCCTATATAACTATATGATCCTTCCTTGATTTCTTTCCCATAAAGCTAAAATTCTAAAACTCAGGACATAAACTGTTTTCTTAAAAATGTCCCTATCATCATGACATTGCAAATACTTAGTAAAGCCTAGACATTGAAACAATTCAACCACTATTCCTGCACACAGGATACTCAGAGCTGCTGGAATAACATGCAAACGTGCAAACACACAGAGCTGCATTTTTATAATCTCATGATTGCCAATGCAACTGGGTTATGGGTACTCACTGGCACACCATGTATATTTTTCTAGTTAGATCTCTTAATCTATACAGATTTTTAAATTTCATTTTTTTTCAAATATCTTACTTTAAATTTTCCTCGTTCTCTTTCGTCAGATGGTTACCCAAAACACTCTCAGCCTTCTTTAAGAGAATCTGTTATCCTGACCCAATCTCTGTTCCCTAGGTACAGTGGGATAGGCATTCTTCACCTTTTACCACAACCTGTGCTTTCCATTCCATGGTGTACTGGGGTCCCCAAGATCACCCCAAATTTCAATAATTCACTAGAAGAGCTCACAAGACTCAGCATACAGTTATATTTATGGTTGTGATTTATTACAGAAGAAAGGATACAGAGCAAACTCAGTAAAAGGAAAAGGCAAATGGGGTACATCCAGATGAAAGGAAGCGTCCTCTTTCACTACAGTTAATAGGACACCCTTAATTCCTCTGACAAGGAATTGTAACATGTAGGAAATGCTGTGTACCGGGAAAGATTCTTGGTG